TTACACAAGGAACAAAAAATAAAGAAGGGAATCACTTAAGTTAGAGGAGATAACGGAGGTTATGTGAAATAAGATTAGATAACAAGGGAGGTTTAGACGCTACCCGCTATTATACAAGTACCAAGACATATTATATTTTTGAACCTGTTCCTTAAATATGATATATTCCGTAGTGCATACTCCTTTTTTGTACAAATTATTAACATCCGCCTGAAACTTCATGAACAGCTTAATCTCATCGTAACCTACAAATATTTTATTTACGAAAACTTTTGGAACTGTGGGCGCTTTCAATTTGGAGACAGGCAATATTTGTCTGTTTAACTAGGTATTAAAAATCCGTAAATATCCATTTGCTTTCCACTTGAATCATAGGATAATTTGAACAAAAAATTGAGAAAAAAATATTGAGCTGTTTTGTGTCACCTACACACCCGAAATGTCAAAACAACGAGGTTGTATAGGCCAAATGGCACAATATTTTTATAGGCCAACTTTTTCTCGTGCTCAAATTATCTTACGTGGAAAGCAAATGGGTATTTACTGACATTCATACAAATCAATAATCTGGTAAATGTAAACAGTTTGATATATAAAGGGTTAAAATCCTGCATTATTTTCCTAACAATCCAACATCTACTAGTAGGTATAGTAAAATATTTTTAATGGTGTCCTATTTTAGATCCATAAACTCAACTAAACTTTAAAAGGAATCATCTATTAAAATACTGCACTGTTTTAGTTTAAAGTATTTCGTGTGACTTTACAGTTTTTGTATCAGAAAGGGCCTGAAACGACTTAATATCTGCCTGAGATGGTAATTTTGTATATAATTATATATTATATATTACATATAGGTATATAGGATATATACCAAACAATATTCTCTCCCTCCCATGACCTCTACTCATAAGTCGGCGGTTATGATGTTTATAACCTGCAAACCAATGGACATACGGTAAGTTGTGTTAAAAGACTGGTTCTGGTACAAGACTTCGGAGCAATATGGTGGTTGTATATAAATAAATAAATATTTTTCATTATACAGGTTAATTAAAAGCTTTAATTACTAACACACTTAAGCATACAGCTAGAAAAGAGACTTAAGGTAATTATATTATACAGAAAAATACAAACAACAAAGCCATGATTCTATAACATACAGACGAATAGTTAATTTGCCAACACAAGATCACTTATATGCAAAAACAAAAAAGGAAAGAAGAGAAAAAATTATTGTTGCTGTAGACAATTCATTCAAGGTTCTGTTAACACAGCTAAGGAAGCTTATATTGAACAGCTGATTAGCAGGAATATAAGAAAGACAAATAAATTATACATAACTAAAATATAATAATACAAAACGTCTTAAATTAAATAAAATAAAAAACTAATAAAATCAAAAGAAAGAGTTCGAAGGTATATATAACATCTATTCCCAATAAAACTAAGAGGATACCCGGCTATTCCACAAGTAATATTACTAAATAAGATAACAAAGATACATAAGGTGATTTTGTTATAAATAGAAAAATCCAAATAGCAAAGCAAAAAAAAACAAACAAGACAAACAGAGAAGAAAATAAAAATTATTGTAGCTATAGACATCCAAACACAAACTGGAAGAAAAAGAAGGTTCTGTTAACACAGCTAATGAAGGTTATATTGAACAACTGATTAGCAGGAATACAAGGAAGAAAAATAAATTATAATAGTACTTTATTTATTCTGTAACGAGTCTCTGTAGAATAATACAGAAAGATAGAAATTTGGACTAAGGAGCCTCAGAGATATATAAACAAAAATACAGAGTAATTAAATGGTCATAATAAAAAAAAAATTATAAGTAAATTTCTAACTTAAATCGGTTAATAATAATAAATTGAAAAATAAAAATAAACATGAAGAAAAAATAATTAAGGACGACCTAGTAATTTTATGGGGTCTGGATGGATAATTAAAGGTAGGAAGGGTATTGGATTGACGGATGTGGGAAGGGATGGAGTTCTATAGGGATGAGGGTCGGATTTTATTTTATTTAACAAGTTTTGTATTATTATTTCTTGTATACTTCTGATTTATCCATAAGGGCCTACCAAACCTCTTCTTTCGACAGAACGTCCATTATCCGATTATCCGACCCTCATCCCTATAGAACTCCATCCCTTCCCACATCCGTCAATCCAATACCCTTCCTACCTTTAATTATCCATCCAGACCCCATAAAATTACTAGGTCGTCCTTAATTATTTTTTCTTCATGTTTATTTTTATTTTTTATTATTAACTGATTTAAGTTAGAAATTAACTTATATTTTCTTATTATGACTATTTAATTACTCTGTATTTTTGTTTATCTATCTCTGAGGCTTCTTATACCACATTTCTGTCTTTCTGTATTATTCTAAAGAGACTCATCACAGAATAAATAAAGTATTATTATTGTAATTTATTTTTCTTCCTTGTATTCCTGCTAATCAGTTGTTCAATATAACCTTCATTAGCTGTGTTAATAGAACCTTCTTTTTCTTCCAGTTTGTGTTTGGATGTCTATAGCTACAATAATTTTTATTTTCTTCTCTGTTTGTCTTGTTTGTTTTTTTTTGCTTTGCTATTTGGATTTTTCTATTTATAACAAAATCACCTTATGTATCTTTGTTATCTTATTTAGTAATATTACTTGTGGAATAGCCGGGTATCCTCTTAGTTTTATTGGGAATAGATGTTATATATACCTTCGAACTCTTTCTTTTGATTTTATTAGTTTTTTATTTTATTTAATTTAAGACGTTTTGTATTATTATATTTTAGTTATGTATAATTTATTTGTCTTTCTTATATTCCTGCTAATCAGCTGTTCAATATAAGCTTCCTTAGCTGTGTTAACAGAACCTTGAATGAATTGTCTACAGCAACAATAATTTTTTCTCTTCTTTCCTTTTTTGTTTTTGCATATAAGTGATCTTGTGTTGGCAAATTAACTATTCGTCTGTATGTTATAGAATCATGGCTTTGTTGTTTGTATTTTTCTGTATAATATAATTACCTTAAGTCTCTTTTCTAGCTGTATGCTTAAGTGTGTTAGTAATTAAAGCTTTTAATTAACCTGTATAATGAAAAATATTTATTTATTTATATACAACCACCATATTGCTCCGAAGTCTTGTACCAGAACCAGTCTTTTAACACAACTTACCGTATGTCCATTGGTTTGCAGGTTATAAACATCATAACCGCCGACTTATGAGTAGAGGTCATGGGAGGGAGAGAATATTGTTTGGTATATATCCTATATACCTATATGTAATATATAATATATAATTATATACAAAATTACCATCTCAGGCAGATATTAAGTCGTTTCAGGCCCTTTCTGATACAAAAACTGTAAAGTCACACGAAATACTTTAAACTAAAACAGTGCAGTATTTTAATAGATGATTCCTTTTAAAGTTTAGTTGAGTTTATGGATCTAAAATAGGACACCATTAAAAATATTTTACTATACCTACTAGTAGATGTTGGATTGTTAGGAAAATAATGCAGGATTTTAACCCTTTATATATCAAACTGTTTACATTTACCAGATTATTGATTTGTATGAATGTCAGTAAATACCCATTTGCTTTCCACGTAAGATAATTTGAGCACGAGAAAAAGTTGGCCTATAAAAATATTGTGCCATTTGGCCTATACAACCTCGTTGTTTTGACATTTCGGGTGTGTAGGTGACACAAAACAGCTCAATATTTTTTTCTCAATTTTTTGTTCAAATTATCCTATGATTCAAGTGGAAAGCAAATGGATATTTACGGATTTTTAATACCTAGTTAAACAGACAAATATTGCCTGTCTCCAAATTGAAAGCGCCCACAGTTCCAAAAGTTTTCGTAAATAAAATATTTGTAGGTTACGATGAGATTAAGCTGTTCATGAAGTTTCAGGCGGATGTTAATAATTTGTACAAAAAAGGAGTATGCACTACGGAATATATCATATTTAAGGAACAGGTTCAAAAATATAATATGTCTTGGTACTTGTATAATAGCGGGTAGCGTCTAAACCTCCCTTGTTATCTAATCTTATTTCACATAACCTCCGTTATCTCCTCTAACTTAAGTGATTCCCTTCTTTATTTTTTGTTCCTTGTGTAAGCTGTGAGTTAGTGTTATTTAATTATGGATCTTGTCACATTGTGGGAATTGCCGTCTTCAGAAGAAGATATCAAATATTTTCAAGGCGACGGGATAATTGCAAAAGTGAAATATTGTGATTAAGGTCATCAAATGAACTTCGACGGGAAGATTAAATGGAAATGCTTTCGTAGTTGTAACAAAACCGCTTCTATAAGTGACATAAGGAAAGGAACGTGGTTAGAGGGGTCGTGGATTTCTTTTTTAACGGCTTCAAAATTCATATGTATACATATGTTGTTTTAAGTGTTTTTTTTTAAACTGCTCGACGTTTCCGCTTACTCCAACACTTACTAGACAAACGCTCTAAACTTCCCATTAATTACAAACGACTCATATGCATGACTATAATAAGACCTATTTGGACTTATGGAGTTGAACTGTGGGGCTCCACTAAACCATCGAATTCCTCACGTATCAAATCTTTACAATCCGAAATCCTTCGTAAAATCCTCAATGCTCCTTACTTTGTCACAAATAAAATAATCCATAAAGACCTCAATGTTCCATATGTTTCCGATTTGGCCGAATCCAGATACCTATCCTTCCATAATAAACTTCATAACCCTCCGAATCCTCTTGTTTCAAACCTTGCTTCCTCTTCGATTCCTGATAACCCTCCGAGGCGTCTGAAAAGAAGATGGCCTCGTGATCTCCTCATGTAGACAAATTATTAGAGTGCTACCAATGAGTAGTTTCTCAACAAGCGTTTTTCATGTTATTTTATTCCTCTGTACATATTTACTTGATGTATTCATACTAATACAGTTGTAAATATCATAATAAAAGTTTAAAAAAAAAAATTTATTTATGTCTATTTTTTGCCTATTTTTATTATTACATTTGTTTTTGTTCACAATTTCAATAATATCAATACAATATAATAAATAATATGAATATATAATAACAATACGAAGATATAATGATATGAATATAATACAATAAATATGAATACGAAGATATTATCAGTGGCTTATCAGAGTTATCAGTGTTGAGGTTATAAACATTGGCAGGTAGCAGTCGGACCAGACCGGCTATTATACACCGGCAAACTTGTGATAACAGCAGAAGTTATCTTGAGCTTTCGATTTCGCAACTTGTAGTTTGTACTTTTGCAGTTTAAGTTACAAGACTGATAATATTAGTCTTAGTACTTTATTATGAAATAAGCCCTTGGTAGTTGTCAGTTTAGTTGTAGCAACCTCTTTCGTCAGGTTTCCCCCTGAGGCCGAATTCGTTGTAAGCTACTCTGTAATACCTGAACCTAGTCAAGCTGGACCTAAGATTGCTTCCATTGCATTCCAACCCTCCGTTGATGGCTCTCGTGGCGGCTCCGAACATACCTCTCTTAACCTCTGGTCTCCTAGCCACCTTATTCTTCCAGTACCAACCTGCAGTAAAGAACGCAGCGTCCTCGTCCTTCGCTACAAGATCCGGGTTCCGAACCAACCTGTCATCTCCGTATAAATCCTTCGAAGCGCGACGGTAGTTGTCCTTTCCAGTAAGCTGGATGTATCCTCTTCCGAAGTACCTGTTCAAATTAATATATTTCACTGTAACACTAATAAAATAAGCAAACAGCTCGAAAAGAGATATTGTGAATGGTAAATCCAAACTATAAAGCCATGAGGAACCAACATACAAGTGAAAATCACAGATAAGTAAAAAGAAAGATAGAGAGAAGAAAACTTGCTATAGACATCTCCCTAACCCATCCAAAAACATACTGAAGAAATTTTGGTTGTTTGGCAATAATAACTTCCAGTTGTTAACAATTGAGTATATTTTACTATCAACGTTACATGTTAACAAGTTAGTTGACGTTTCGTGACATTTATTCCCATCTTCAGAACTGCAATTCCAATACTCTTGTGGATGCAAAACTAAAAATTTACAAGTTACAATATTGTGCTTGTTACATTACATATTTGAATTATGCTTGTTACAATAAATGTGTAATTACCTTAAATTTAAAAATAATAATAATAATGTGCTCCATCGTCAAATTTCTAATTCATGTTCTAAAATGTATTATCTAGAGCAACATCCTCCTTTTGACCAATAATTGGGTTTCTGCCATAGTGAAAAAATTACTTGAAGCAATACACATTACAAAAAACAACATAACAACAGTAAACTACAAAACAGACACTAAACATTTAGTAACCCATTATACGGATATATTGAACAAAATTAAAATTTAATAGAAGTGAAATCACAGACACATAAAACAAACATTAACAACAATAATAAAAATAGTCAGATAAAACAGTCAGTTGCAAAGGTCAATTTTTTCACTATGGTAGAAACCCAATTATTGGTTAAAAGGAGGATGTTGCTCTAGATAATGCATTTTAGAACATGAATTAGAAATTTGACGAAGGAGCACGTTATTATTATTATTTTTAAATTTAAGATAATTACAAATTTATTGTAACAAACATAATTCAAAAATGTAATGTAACAAGCACAATATTGTAACTTTAAAAAAATTTTAGCCTTGCATCCACAAGAATATTGGAATTGCAGTTCTGAAGATGGGAGTAAAGATCCCGAAACGTCAACTAACTTGTTAACATGTAACGTTGATAGTAAAATATACTCAATTGTTAACAACAGGAAGTTATTATTGCCAAACAACCAAAATAAATTGACAACTTCCCAGAAAAAAAGAAAAAAGAAGATACTGTAGAAAATAGGAGAGGAAGGTTATATAAAACAGCTGATAAAAAAATACTCATAGTAGCATCAGCTGTTTATTTAACCTTCCTCTCTGGTTTCATTCCGTATGTTTTGGGATGACATAATGAGATTTCAACAATTGAAGATTGGAGCAGACGGTGGGTGACGACTCCGAAAGGCAGTACCTTAAGAAAATACTTCCACACCGTTGAATTTTGGCTATAAGCAAAATGGATACTTGCGGACAATTCGGCTTCGCAATTTCTCACGGGGTATGGGGGTTTCAGAGCTTAACTTCATGGCCTCGGACAGGATATAGATCACACTGCCCCGCTTGTGGTGTTCCTGAGACTGTTGAGCATGTGGTCACGGCCTGCACTGCTTTCGACGAATTAAGAGCGAGGTTAATGAGAACCACGGTAATTTACATCTTCACTGAGGAGGAGTTTCCTCCGTTGGTGATTGAAGAAAACTTCCCGCGGTTCAAAGAGGTTTTAAATGGCCGAAAGATGGCGGTGGGTCCAGCTCACTTCAACCTAGGTGCACGCAGAAGGAGAAGAAGACCTCCGGATTCGGGAAGTCAGGCCTAATTGGTGTAGAAGGACGAAAAGTCGAAGAGCCTAGCTGTGTGCACAGCTTTGCATTTTGTTAACTGATATTATGGCAGTAGTGTGTTGTTATGCATTAATGCTTAACATCACACTACTGTATACTCGCGTATTGCCCTGGTGCCATGGGAGGGTGGAAAATAAATAAATAGATAAAATGATGAGATTTCAATAGCAAATGTTTTTTTTTTTTCTTTTTCTTTCTATTTTTTTTTCAACTTGCGCCATGAATCCCCTAGAGCAATCCCCACCCGGAGACCCGAACGAGGGACTAGTTTACCTCTGGATAATGAGCGTTTTACCTTAGGGAGATCCATGACTATTTGTGGTGTTTGGTGAACTAAAGATCTAAGATATCTAGGTTCTATGATAACTAGGAAAAACGAAATTGAAGAAGAGATTAAGGTTAGACTGAAGGCGGGAAATGCTTGTTTTTTTCTGTGACAAAACTACTTAGTTCGTACCTCTTGTCCCGGAAATTAAAAATTAGAATCTATAAAACAATTATCTTGCCTACAGTTCTTTATGGATGCGAAACTTGGCCGCTTACATTAGGGGATCAGCAGCGTCTTAAGGTTTTTGAAAATAAAGTATTGCGTAGAATATTCGGACCGAAGAAGGATGAGTCAACCGGAGAGTTCAGACGATTACACAACGCCGAATTGCGTGAACTGTATCCGGGTAATATAATTGAGGTAATTTTATCGCGGCGAATCAAATGGGGTTGTAAAGTTGTTGGGCTTAGTAACGAGAGAATTCCTAAAAGGTTAATATTTGCTGTGCCGAATGGTAAGCGTCCGAGGGGTAGACCGAAGCGAAGGTGGGAAGATTGCATTAAAGCCGATCTGAAGGGACTGGGTTTGGACAGCGAACGGTGGAGGGAGGTATGTAATAAGCGATTGGTGGTGTCGGCATCGAACCTTCGGGTTCGCTAAGCCTTTTATTATTATTATTATTTCCTTCTTTCTGCATATATGCGATCTTCTTTTTTCTGCCCTGATGTCTGAATTGGCAAAACTTTGAGATCAACTGTTCACTTTTATGTAGGGACTCATGACTATATAGTTTGGATTGTTACGCTAATGTAATAACGCAAATACTTTATTTAATATCAACAAAATAAAGTAAAGTGGCGTCATGTCAGCCATCTCGTGACCTTGGTTTGAAAAGGTTCTAAGCATATTTAATATAATTTTGAGAAATAGAGCTTCAAAGTAACAATTTTGTTTGTTGTTTGTTTATGAGTTAATCCTACCACTTGTTAATATAATTTTGAATATTGAAATTTTACTCGACCCATTTCGGGCAAATGCTACTTAACATCCGATACGTGTCTGAACTAAGCAAAACTAATCTATGAGCTCATTGTTGTTTAGGAAATTGTCTCTAGCATTCCACAGTATAGGTTAGGAGATAGCGATTCTGATGTGAAAAGAGGTAAACATTGAATGAATCTGTTTTATTTGATCTGTTTTCTGGAATAGATACAAAAAACTGCTTAATATCAACGAATACATAAATAGTTCTCTGAAACAGATACTGAAAGCTGTTTATTTTAAACCAGGAGTTAAAACTGTTATAGAACTTTTATTAAAAGTTTCTGTAAAACGTTCTGAGGAAAACGTTCCACAAAATAAAAGTTGTAAGGAACATTTCTGTAAACAAAATTCCAAGTTTATGGTAATAGTTTAACTTGTTCTTGAAAAAATAAACAGTAATTAGACTTAGATTAGAGTTATGATTTGTCTAAAATAAATTACACTTGATTCTAATGTGTCGTGTATTTCAGGAACGTTTTAGAGAAATCGACTTTTTTTTTTTAAATTACATGTTTGTAAAACCTTTACCAGAAAAGTCGTAAGATAAAAAGTTCTAGTTCCAAATAATTGAAAAACATTCGGCAATACGAATTCGGTTCAATCTGAAGTGATTTAAAATTAAAATATTTTTTCCGTAAAAACTCAAATAAACAGCTCCTTGCAAAAGAAACACCCTTGTGGAGCAGACGCCGTAACCGTTTTCTGAAACAGATACAGAAAGCTGTTTAATTAAAACAGCTTCTAGTAAAAAATACAGAAATAGTTATCGGTTGTTTTGCACAATAACCCTACCAGTTATTTTTTGTAGCAGTTATAGAAAAGTATCAACTACATTTGAATCTATGTTGTTATTCTTCTATCATATAAACATCTGTTAACACATTATATTTTATTTAATTAAAGAAAACGAGTTAATATAAATGATTAAATAATTTAACAACAGAAAAAAATCAGACGATAGGTTACAAATGGGAAAAATCAAACCATACAAACTTGTATCTCCAAAACTTTTATATGTTTGAGGTTATGCGTATTGTAGGAGATAAAGGTTTAGAAATTTCCGTTAACTATAAAACTGATAGTAAGAATTTGAATATTATTTACACTGAAACGTTAAAAATGTTGTATAAGTCGAATAAATCTAGATAATTTGTTCTTTTAACGTTATCAAAGCGATCAGCTGTTTTTAATGATAACCTTCTCTATTTTCGTTTCTCTTTTCTTTTGTATTCATTATCATTTTCTCGCTTTTTCTTTTGTCCTGTTTATTTATTTTTATCTGTATTTTCAGGGATTATTTATGTATTTTATGTATTAAGTTTTTTTTTCCTTTATGATGATGACCACCTATTTGATTATAATCTTCCTCAGCTGTGTGGAAATGAGTCCTTTCTTTCAGTTTGTATTAGGACGCTATTGTGTGTTGTAATCTTGTACTTTATTAAAGAAATGGTGGTGTAAATGATCATATAAAATATGATCTGTTAATATAATGGAAAAATAACAACATTGGTTCAAATGTAACTAATACTTTTCTATAACAGTTACAAAAGGTAAGTAGCGAGGCTAATGTGGAAACGACCATCTTAAACAGAAATAGCCCTCTGAAAGAGGCACAGAAACAGATATCTGAAACAGGTTCAGAAAGCTGTTTAATTTGAACGGATACAGAGATAGTTCTCTGAAACAGGTACATAAAGCTGTTTAATGAAAACAGCTTCTAGCACAAAATACACAAATATTTCTCTCAGAAAATAACTTAGAAACAGTTCTTTTTAACAGATACAATCCTCTGCAACAGTTTCATACAGCTTACTCCGGACATTTTACTTCGTTGATAAAAATAATATTCATCGAAAAATAACTATTTATTATTGACAAGAAAATTTTGTTTTTAGATAGTATAAAGGTAACAGAAGAAAAGTTCTTTTTTTAAACGTTTTTTTTTAAAGCAGCAGAAACTGTTGCAACTGTTACACATGATAATCAGTGTTTCCCATCACTTGTAACAAACATTATTGTTGTAACTAACCACAGAGGTATTAACCTAAGAATCCAAAGAACTAATAACCTAACAGTACCTGGGCTTATTGGTGAAATCGTACCAATGTTTCTTATGGCCAAACTGCTCTTTGAACTGGAGACCACCCGATTCGTGAGCAATCTGCGCTAAGAACATGGCGGCTTCTCTCTTATCCGATATGCCAGCGTATCCCAGATTGCGGGTAAACCTGTCGAATTGAGACCTGGTAGGCGTTGGAAATCCGTTTTTCGTTATAGCACTGCTAAATTGATCCCATGTGACCATTGGAGGTTTCTTCCTAGACTGAACTGTTTGCAAGAGAACAACCTAAGAATTAAATAATTATTTTAGAATGATAACTAGATACAAAATTAAATCACTAGATACAGAGCATTTTTTGAAGTGAAAACATCTTTAAGCGCATTTTGCAATTTTTTTTACGGAGAGTGAATTAGATTGAGCCGTTAGATCTCCGATGTGTCAGTCGACTAATTCGCATATGGATTAAAATATATCAGAAACTAAAAATCGGACCTACTTACTGAAAGCAAGGGAATAGTTCAGCATTTCATCCTGTTTATTACGAGCTATTAATTATAATTTATATTTCATATTATTAATTTCGCCTCCATGATGTTTTCACTTCTATAGTGTGGTCCAAAGCACACACCTTATTTGCTTTAAAAAATAAATAATTTTCTATAATATACAATAGTGACTTAGACATCAAAATTAAGGAAAGTATTGAATTTATATTTGACTACAGTTGTGTGGTGTACGATGGCCTCTCGGTGGGACTCCGTGATAGACTCAAAATACTTATGAATAGCTTTGTAAGATTTGTAATTGGGACCCCGAGACGCTCCTGTGTCTCCCACCACTACACTGAGTTAGGGTGGCTCTTCCCCTCCTTAAGAATACAATATTTCCTAGTCACATTCCTTTATCAAATCATTACCGATCATCGTCCTTCTTATGCCTCCAATCTTCTACAATTTAAGTCCTCAATCCATTCCCTCACTACAAGATCTCGATCTGTACATCTCTTCTCATAGATCTGCTTCATTCCAAAACTCCTTTATAGCCCGCTCTGTCAACTTTTGGAATTCCCTCCCGATCAAAATTCGACATGCCCCTTCCCTGTACACATTCAAAAACGTCCTATTCCAAACAGCTAACTATTAATATTATATATATATTGTGTAGCAATCATATAACCATAATACATGGTAAGGGATAGCACATGCATTTCCTACTATCGACGTAGGAATTACAATGCATACATTTTTTCTTTTATTTAATTATAATTAACTGTTTTATTATATATTATATAATAAATTATAATATTCAAGTAAAGTTTTTTTTATGAAATGAACTCATTCTACCACTTTTTCGTTCTTCATTTCTCAAAGTGTATGTTTATGTTGTTCAACCCTTATATATAGTTTTGATCATAGTTTCAAGTGATTTGTTCATAGTTTTAAGTGTTTTGTTCATAGTTTTAAATTCTCTGTACATAGTTTTATCTTTATTGTATATAGCTTGTGCACCTAAGGTTTTCTTTACTTTTTATTTTATTTTATCAATTTTATTTTTTGTTTCAAACTTTTAGGCCAGGAATATTCTATTTTTTTGTACAATAATGTTATTATAAAGGGACTTAGTCGCATAATAAAGTTTTTTTTTCTATCTATCTATCTATATAATAATATATATTAGTATAAAGTATAAAAGTACAGATATAAATATTATCAATATATTTTTTTTCCCTTAAAACTTATTAACGCAAGTCCTATATTACCAAGATGCATACTACTTAATTTTTTATTACAAAATAATTTAAATCGGATTCTAAACTGAATATAAAATCAATGAAATGAAATGAAATGAAAAAATAATTTTATTCTGGGACTACTGTCCCCTAAGAATAATAACAGTGTTACAAATTTATGTATCTTAGTCTGACATAATAAAAATACCAACTAATTTACTGTTAATTGTTACTTCAATTGTGCAATAGATTGAAATTAAACAGAGTACAGATGCAAGTAATTTGACATGTTAGGGGAAGTTTGAATGTGGATTAGGTGTTGGAACAGGAGTTGTTTGAAGGTATTTGTGGACGAGGATTGACGTATGGAGGTAGGAAGTGAGTTCCATAAGGAAGCAGCACGAATGACGAAGGATTTGCTAAAGGAGGAAGTTTTATGGCAGGGAATATACAAGTCTATAGGTTGAGACCTAGTATTAAGAGAGTGGATAGAGGAGCGCAGAGTAAGGAGTTCCAGGATGTAGGAAGGGTTTTTGGTTTTGAGGACTTGGAAAAGGAAACCACCAAGGAGGAATTGTCGTCGGGAAGTAGGATAAAGCCACTTCAACTAGGTGTACCAGAATAAAACATGTGAACGCCTGGAGATCCCGAAAATGTATGTTATGAAACAATTCATGAGTCTCTTTAGTCTCATTTTATAAAATCAATAGTCATATAAAGTCAAGAGAATAATGAGCCACCTGATTAAATAGGGCTATTATTTCTTTTAAAAATTGGACAATTTACGAGCTCGCTGTTTATTTATTGATCGTAGGAAATTAACACCATCATCTATAACTTGCAACCATGGAATTTGTAAATGAGTGAGTAACTAATCTGAATAATAAAATGGCACAGGAAGCTGTCAACCAGGATTTGGCCCAAGCGGAAATCTCACAAGTGCTCAGTCAATGCTCGGAAACCTACCACAGTTATATAGAAAATGAAAACCAGACCAAATTTTCAGGAATTGTCAAAGAGAGAGCTAATTTAGAAATGTAGGCGTCGCTGGCTGATGAAAATTTGAAAAATGATATGAACAATGCAGTTAAGAAGCTTCAAAATGAGTATCAGAAAAGATTAGATACTTTGAAGAAAGTAAATAATGTACCTAATAGGCCTACGGTTGAAGATGAGGAAAAAATTCTGCTGACACAGTTCGTCGACGTGGTTGCCCACATGTCTTCACTTGATGCTAGGGTCTCGGTTATATGTAACGCTGAGTATTCTGACGTGGAAACTGAGCAGGGTGCCCTGGAAGAGAGTAGACTTTTATCTGAAATCCAATCCTTGTATGTTAAATTCTGTAGAGAACTTACTCAGGAATCGAAAGACGAAGAAAGGTTAAAGGATGTAGTTGAAGTCTATGTTCTTGCGGGGATCCTCAATCCGAACGTAGAAATTATGGAAAAAACGGAACCTGGAGATACTTGGATTGACGCACTGTGTAAGAAGTGTGAGCAGTTAAAAGAAAGATTAGTTACTCTACATTTTGGGTATCCTGAGATACGCATCCTGTGCATGAAGTCGGAATATCTTGCACCAAAGAAGAGATGGTTGGCATCGATCCAGCCAGTGTCATATGAGGCGGTGTAGGTCTTAGCCGGAAGTATTCCAATTTATCTCCAACCGCGTGAAGACTATTTTCAGCATAAGATGAAGAGAGGAGGCTTGGTGGATCTCCAAGCGAATCTCTGGGTGCGGATCAGTGAAGACCCAAGAAAATTCTTCGGGAGAATACTGTAGAAGAACGGAACCGATGATAGGTGACAACGCCAAAAGGAGCTACGCTACGGAAATACTTCCCCCTCTGTTGATTCAAGAATGGAAAAGGGTTCTCAGTTCCTCACTGGACAAGGAAGTTTCCGAGCAAAGCTTGTTGAATATGGTAGAAACATTGATCTCTTATGCCCCAGTTGCGGGATATCAACCAGTTGAGGTATTTAATAACAAGACACGGACCAAATGTGTTCCTTGATGTTCAAAATGTAAAACTCGAGAGAAAATCTTCCATGTAATCCTATATATTATTTCTAAAAGGTATTTTTTTGTCTGTACACCATAACTTCGTCAATTCTTCATCAAATCCAATGATTGACCACTCATTTTGAAGATATTTTTCTCCTTCACATGCGAAAAAAAGTGCTATCTCCCGAAATTTCTAGGGAAAAAGTTATGAACGCAAAGAAACTTTATTTGCGAATAACTCAAAAAGTCTGAATTTTTTTCTTGCTTGTACCCATGATAATTACCTACAAAACAAAACAAAAAATCGGACAATTATTAACAAAGATGCAGTCCATTAGATTTTGTATACTTAGTAATGTCTTCCTGTTTAAAGTATTGCATTTAGAAGTAGAATAGTCTGCTACACTTTTTTTCCTGGCTGATAAATTAGCTTATTTTTTCTTAAAGACATTTTTTTGGACTTACATTTTATTTTTTTTAATAATCCTGTCAGCGTTTAAAAATAGGTATTAGCAAAATAATTTGTACAAATATTTGTGTCTATTATGTTTAATGGAATATTGTAATCGACCAAGGAAAAACTATTAATTCCTTACTTACATAATAAATAGGAACTATTTATTTCCATACTGTTTTGCTATTTCTTCACTAAACAAAATTCCTATTCTCCCGAAATTTCCAGAAAAAAAGTTATGAAGAAAAAGAATAACTCAAAAGGTATGGATTTTTTTCTAAAGTGTACCCATAATAATTAGAAAAATTACTAAATTACCTACAAAACCAAAAATAAATTGTAAAAAAATATTAAAAATTAACGTAATATGTATATGAAAAAAAAATCTTTCGGGCTGAAGCCTCCCAAAATTAAATCCTGGATCTGCTAGTGAGTCCCACAAAATGGTGTGTGTGTGGTGTGTGTGTATGTGAGATCAATCCAGCTCAAAAATGAAAAGCCGTACGAAACTGATTTTACGTAATTAAGATAGGTACATGTCTGGGATGATACATCAACTTTTTCCTTAAAATCGGCTAACCGTAAGTAACACTTTATATCATCGATTTTACATATTTTTATAATTTTTTCAAAAACGGCTTAAACGATTTTAATTAAAATCGGTATACCAATGTATAATTAAGTGACCTTTAATAGCATTTAAGTCTTATTCCCATTGATGTCACTTCCCAATGCTTAAATACGCAATGTTCAACATTTCTTCCTCTAAAGTATCTTCATTTGTTTTATTTTGAATAATAAACTATCTCACATTCTTAGGAATTACGAAGAAATGCTAAATATAACATTTTAACGAATTTGATCATTTAAAAATGGAAAAAAAAAGAAAAATGTTTATAATAATATATCATTGGAAAGTGGAGAAATTAAAAAAAAAAAAATATCAAACATAGAAAGTCGTAGAAAGTAATGGAGAGTGACGAAAAAAATATAAATAATAATTTTTGAAAACTAATATTATTTTACCGAAATCACATTTCGAAATAAAGTATTTAAAACCCAAAGAATCAAGGCAACGACAATGTTTAAAAAACTGTTTCATTATACTCGTGCAAAAAAAGGGGTAAAATATTTCATGGATGTATAAAGTATAAGTTTAAAGGCTTAAATAAATTTACTGTGGTTTAATAATTTTAGATCAGATATTATATTTAAATAATTAGGTATCAATACCCGTGTATTGATATTATATTTTTGTATAAAATCCCGTGTATTTTTTTAATATTTTTTTTGTTTTAGTTTTTACAATTTCTTTCCCTACATATTAACAGTTATTATTATTTTTTTAATTTTTATATTCCATCACTACAATGCTTTACCTATAAAATAGATTTTACTTTCCTTTATAATTTCATTCAGTGATTATTATGCAATTATTTTAGTTCCAATATTGTAGTACTGAACCCCTATTACCCAACTGTTCTCGTTAATTTATCCTAAGAGCTTAATTAATACTTAATGTATTACATGTATTTTGTCATTATTCATTGTAATAAGTCTTTTGACCAGATTTGTAGTTAATATATATGAACAATACTGTTATTCTAAAGGGACCTAGTCCCAGAATAAAGATGATTTTTCTATTTCTATTTCTATTCCAAAAAATCTTTTAGAAAATTAAATTATTGAATAATTTGATGTATTTTCCATTTACAGATACAATATACAGATATACTTTCATATCTCTCTAGGCATATATATATATATATATATATATATATATATATATATATATATATATATATATATATATATATAGGTCAGAGACTGGAGTTATGTGGTTTACAAAAACAGAGGGAGTACCGAGGTTTTTATTTTCTACCGTTAATATAATTAATAGGATTTTGTTATTTTAATGGTCTAAATGATTTGTTAGCTGTCAGATTTAAGCTGTAGTTCAGTTAAAAATACACTTCAAAAATTTTATAAAAGCAGATGGAGTGACTAGATTTTTATTGCCTGTTGTCGATATATTAAATAGACATTTTGTAATTATAATGGTCTTAATGAATCGTTATCTGTAAGCTTTAAGCTTTAGCTCCGTTTAAAATGCACTTCAAAAAAATTGATAATAGCCCAGCATTGCCAGAAAATAATTTCTATTCAAAATAGAGCGGTAAGTGAAAGTTATGTATTGCGCGCACCAGATTTTTTGTTTAACCTTCCGCAAGAATACAAAGCTTCATACATTCGGTAGTGAAGTGATAACATATTTTATATGTTATCTATACTGATACTAATATATGATAATTTCTAAGAAATATTTTAAGTAAGTGTCTTACCAGTAATATAAACTGTTGGAACCAACGAAACAAATTTAGTCCCATTTTAGTCAAGTCTTCAAGCCAACAGTAATCGAACTGTTTCAAATCATAAATAGATCAAATAATTTGATTTCAGTACATACATAATTGTATATGATTATATTTTCCACATACCTCCGTTTTTATAATCACATATCGATATTTAAGCTGATATTTATTATTGGGAAGGGAATTACTTGGAATCTGTCGTAGCATATTGATAAAATCGTAATATATAATCAGGTATCACAAGATATAAATAAGAAAAAAAAAAACCATTTCAATGATAAAAATATTTAAAGATTTGTTCATGTAATCTCCTTAATTTACGATAGTTTAGAATGGATTACAAAATCCAGCTTGAAGAATGTCCATAAACATAAATAAAGAAATAATTATAAATTACGAAAAAGTTCAAAAATGGATATAAATCACCTAGGACACCAATGGAAAAATCCAAATCATAAGGTAATTTTATTTTAAATGAAGTAAATATATAGTTAAAAAATAAACTTTATTATGGGACAGTCCTCTTAGAATAACGACGAAAAAAAAAAGAAAACAAAATATCTATCTGGCCAAAATTAGTAATTTAAATCAAAATTATAATACATTAAACAACTAAAAAATCAAAATCAAATCTTTTCAAGAATGCTTATAGCTGTAATGGAAAAAGATAAATAACAACCAAAACAAAAAAACATTATAAACATAGAACACTATCGAATCCAGGATTTTATTTTGAGTGGGCTTCAGCCTGAAGGCTTTTTTTATTCATATATATGAATATGACAATTAATTAAAAAAAAAAAGAAACTACCTACCTAAATGACATTCTGTGATTCTTGAAGTCCTAATTAATGTAATTACACGAACTTTAAGAGATAGTTTTTAATAATTTTTTCTATAAAACATGGTTATACTTTACCATTTTGGGGGGGAATTCAGTCCGAAAGCCTCCCTCGTAGATTCACCTGTGACATAGAAAAAATATGCAAAATCTTGAGATATGAAAAAATACCAAAAGTAAGTAAAGAAAGAAAATGCATTTATTTTGTATGTTTGGACATAAAGAGTGGGTTAACTTCATTAAATCTAACCAAATTAAAAATACAATGACACATACAGTATTTTAAATAAAAATAAGAAAACACTAAAAGATAAAAATATAATCTTCTCAAGAATACTTATAGTTGTAATGAAAAAAAAAGATAAAAAACAACCAAAACATAAACACTATATATATATATATATATATATATATATATATATATATATATATATATATATATATATATAGAGAGAGAGAGAGAGAGAGAGAAATAAAAAGGCAAAACCATGAGAAAAGAAAAAATAACTAAGTAATAACTAAGTAAAGAAAGAAAAAGCATTGATTTTGTATGTTTGGACATAAAGAGTGGGTTGACTTAAATAAATCTAACCAAATTAAAAATACAATAACACATACAGTAATATAAATAAAAATATGGAAACACTAAATGATAAGAAAGAAGAATAAAGTATAAATATAGAGAGAGAAAAAAAGACAAAACCTTGAGGAAAGAAAAAACCACAAAAGTAAGTAAAGAAAGAAAAAACATTTATTTAAATGTTAAAACATAAACTAAATTACTAAAAAAACTATTAACAATTCTCACAATATAAACAATAATTTAAATATTAACATGTTAATAGCTAAACAAAATATCTACTCAAGCATACAGATGAA